ACACACAGAAGCTTTTACACACAAACACTTTCACACACAGAGGCTTTTACACAGAGGCTTTTACACACAGACGCTTTTACACACAGACGCTTTTACACACAGACTCCTTTACACACAGACGCTTTTACACACAAACACTTTCACAGACGCGTTTACACACAGAGACTTTTACACACAGACGCTTTTACACACAGACACTTTTACACGCAGACGCTTTTACACACAGGCGCTTTTACACGCAGATGCTTTTACACACAAACACTTTCACAGACGCGTTTACACACAGAGACTTTTACACACAGAGACTTTTACACACAGACCCTTTTACACACAGACGCTTTTACACACAGACGCTTTTACACGCAGATGCTTTTACACACGCACACACACTTTCATACACAGAGGCTTTTACACAGAAGCTTTTGAAGAGAGTCTCTATATGACATTTTATGGTCCTGAACTCAAACTGTTCTGTTTTTGACATCAAGCACATGATGGCATCGAGCTCTGTTGCAAACGTTTGCAGACATTTCACTAGTGAAGTATTGTCACATGTGTCATTTACAGCATCATGGTGCCGATCTTTTTTGGGCCATTTATGTGGGATTTTCCATAATAAAATGAAATAACATGTGTCATACACAGCATCATGGTACCGAGCTTTTTTGGGCCATTTATGTGGGATTTTCCAGAATAAAATGAAATAACCTGTGTCATACACAGAGGCTTTTACACACAGAGGCTTTTACACACAGATGCTTTTACACACACACACACACTTTCGCACAAAAACGCTTTTACACACAGACGCTTTTACACACAGAGGCTTTTAGACACAGACGCTTTTACACACAGACGCTTTTACACACCGACACTTTTACACACAGACACTTTTACACACAGACACTTTTACCCACAGACGCTTTTACACACAGACCCTTTTACACACAAACACTTTCACACACAGAAGCGTTTACACACAGACGCTTTTACGCACAAAAACTTTGCTTTTACACACAGAAGCTTTTACACACAGACGCTTTTACACACAGACGCTTTTACACACAGACGCTTTTACACACAGACGCTTTTACACACAGACACTTTTACACACAGACATAGAGGCTTTTACACACAGAAGCTTTTACACACAGACGCTTTTGACACACAGACTTTTACACAGACAGAGACTTTTACACACAGGCGCTTTTACACACAGACGCTTTTACACACAGACGCTTTTACACACACGCTTTTACCCAAGACTTTTACACACAGAGACTTTTACACACAAACGCTTTTACACACAGACTTTTACACACACTTTTACACAAACACTTTTACACACAGACGCTTTTACACACAGACGCTTTTACACACAGAAGCTTTTACACACAGACACTTTTACACACAGACGCTTTTTGCACACAGACGCTTTTACACACACACACACTTACACACACACACACACTTTCACACACAGAGGCTATTACACAGAGGCTTTTACACACAGACGCTTTTACACACAGACGCTTTTGCACACAGACACTTTTACACAGACACTTTTACACACAAACACTTTCACACAAACGCTTTTACACACAGACGCTTTTACACACAGACACTTTTACACACAGACTCCTTTACACACAGACGCTTTTACACAAAGAAGCTGTTACACACAGAAGCTTTTACACACAGACGCTCTTACACAGAAGCTTTTTACACACATACTCCTTTACAGACAGACGCTTTTACACACAGAAGCTTTTACACACAGACACTTTTACACACAGACGCTCTTACACACAGAAGCTTTTACACAGAGACTTTTACACACAGACACTTTTACCCACAGAAGCTTTTACACACACACGCGCACACACACACACACGCTTTTCTTTTACACACACACACACAGAGGCTTTTACACACGGACGCTTGCACAGAGACTTTTACACACAGACGCTTTTACACACAAACACTTTCACACACAGAGGCTTTTACACACAGAAGCCTTTACACAGAGACTCCTTTACACACAGACGCTTTTACACACAGAAGCTTGTACACACAGAAGATTTTACACCCAGACGCTTTTACACAGACACTCTTACACACAGACGTTTTTACACACGAACGCTTTTACACACAGACACTTTTACACACAGACACTTTTACACACAGAGGCTTTTACACACGGAAACTTTTACACACAGACACTTTTACACACAGACCCTTTTACACAAAGAGGCTTTTACACACAGACGCTTTTACACGCAGACGCTTTTACACAGACGCTTTTACACACAGACGCTTTTACACACAGACGCTTTTACACACAGACGATTTTACACACAGACGCTTTTACACACAGACACTTTTACACACAAACACTTTCACACAAACGCTTTTACACACGGCACTTTTACACAGACACTTTTACACACAGACGCTTTTACACACACCCTTTTACACACAAACACTTTCACACACAGAAGCGTTTACACACAGACTCCTTTACACACAGACGCTTTGACACACAGAAGCTTTTACACAGAAGATTTTCACAAAAACAAAACTTTCACATTCAGACGCTTTTACACAGAGGTTTTTTACACAGAGGCTTTTACACACAGACGCTTTTACACACAGACGCTTTTACACACAGACGGTTTTACACACAGACCCTTACACAGACACTTTGAAACACAGACGCTTTTACACACAGAGGCTTTTACACACAGAGGCTTTTACACACAGACACTTTTACACAGACGAAAGCGTTGCGATTGACACTTTAAAATTGCAATTTTTCCTCAGTTTTTGACGTCCAACGTCCAACGTCCATTTCGTGCGAAAGGGTTGCGATTGACACTTTAAAATTGCAATTTTTCCTCAGTTTTTGACGTCCAACGTCCATTTCGTGCGAAAGGGTTGCGATTGACCAAGTAAAATCGCAATTTTTCCTCAGTTTTTGACGTCCAACTTCCATTTCGTGTGTAAGGGTTGCAATTGACAACTCAAAGTCGCAATTTTTCCTAAGTTTTTGACGTCTAACGTCCATTTCGTGCGAAAGGGTTGCGCGGGACGCTTCAAAGTCGCAACTTTTCCTCAGTTACTGGCGTCCAACGTCCATTTCGTGCGAAAGGGTTGCGCGGGACGCTTCAAAGTCGCAATTTTCCTTCAGTTTTTCACGTCCAACGTCCATTTCGTGCGTAAGGGTTGCGCGGGACACCTCAAAGTCGCAATTTTTCCCCAGTTTTTGACGTCCAACGTCCATTTCGTGCGAAAGGGTTGCGCGCGACGCTTCAAAATCGCAATTTTACCTAGGTTTTGGACGTCCAACGTCCATTTCGTGCGAAAGGGTTGCGTTTCGTGGCGCTCCGGCGGCACCGCCCCCGCCTTAAGAGAGAATAGAAGAAGAGCGAGAGGAGATCTGCAGATGTGAAGGTGTGAAGATCTAGATCTGCAGGTCTAGATCTGCAGGTGTGAGGGTGTGATGTAGATCTGCAGATGTGAGGGTGTGAAGATCTAGATCTGCTGAAGATCTAGATCTGCAGGTGTGAGATGTGAAGATCTAGATCTGCAGGTGTGAGGGTGTGAAGATCTAGATCTGCAGATGTGAGGGTGTGAAGATCTAGATCTGCAGATGTGAGGGTGTGAAGATCTAGATCTGCAGATGTGAGGGTGTGAAGATCTAGATCTGCAGATGTGAAGGTGTGAAGATCTAGATCGGCAGATGTGAGGGTGTGAAGATGTAGATCAGATGTGAGGGTGTGAAGCAGATGTGAGGGTGTGAAGATCTAGATCTGCAGGTGTGAAGGTGTGAAGATGTAGATCTGCAGATGTGAGGTGTGAAGATCTGCAGATGTGAGGGTGTGAAGATCTAGATCTGCAGATGTGAGGGTGTGAAGATCTAGATCTGCAGGTGTGAAGGTGTGAAGATCTAGATCTGCAGGTGTGAAGGTGTGAAGATGTAGTATAACGGCTGCTTTTTTACGAAGAACCCTTCGCAGGCGCTCTCGGGAAAAACGTGTTTTTCGCTCCAACCGTCGTCTAGTTTAGTTGTTCGGAGAGCTGTCAGCAGATGTCAGCAGCCAAGGTGATCGTACTACTTTGGCCGCCAAGCTTCGTGCTTGGCAAAGAGTGCCCTGAGGCGTGACATTTTTGTATATTTTCGCGACTGTCTTCAGAACAGGTCAAAACTTTGAGCCAATGACAAAATTGGAGCCTTCTGTTTTCGGCGCATCTTTTGCCTATAATGGAAATACATGCAAATACTCTTCAACTTCAGAACATGCGAAATTGAAGTATTCGAAGAAGATGCAGTCCGAATGGCTGTCTGCATTCCGAGCTGGTTTGAATCCGTGTGGTGCAGATGCTTTGGTTGTTGAAAGTTTGAGCAAATGTTCTTCGGATAAGCCGATTTGGTTGTCTTGCCGGTCTCAAATTAAATGTGCTGAAGTTGCCGACTGCAGTTTCCCAGTTCCTCGTTTGCAATCTTTCCAGGCCGTGGATGGCCAAAGGGCCTTGCTTCAGCACAAGGTGACCCTTGATCAGAGCATCATTGACGCAATTCAGGAGACCATCAAGAAGGAAGTGGATTTGGCTCTACATCACGGCGATCAAGGACACCCAGTCCAAGCGGATGGACCAGTGGCCACGACCGTCAACCAGACGGCCTTGTTTCAAGGAGATGGCCGCAAAAAAACTAATTGGATGGCTGCTGGTGGCTTGAAATGTGTGCTGTGTTCCAAAGCAAAGATAAGCGAAGTACATCATGATACATCAACACATGACGAACATGGATAAATTGGATAAACCTGAAAGTGGCTTCGGGGTGACTTCCAGGGGCCCAAGTGGCCAACGAAGCATCGACCATCACCAGTTGAACCTGAGCTTCCCCAGGATGTTCTGCGAAGGCTTCCCGGAAGTTTGCGCGGCTCCAACCTGCAGAGGCTTCGGGGGTGGAGGTGGCGGCAGCCACCTGGGTGAACATGACCAAATTGAGCGCCTGCACAGCTGGGAACTTGCCAGCCATGTTGTTTTCAAGAAGTTCCTACAGCGAGACGTGCTGTCCTGAAGGCGGGGTGAACATGTATGATCATTTATGATCATTTATGATTTATGATCATTTATGTACTGTTGATGTTGGCGTTTCTCAATCAAATCGCAAGACTTCTCAATCAAATCGCAAGACTGCAAAAGATTTCATGAAAGATTTGTAATATTTTGTAATTAAATGTGGAAATGTGGCTGCTTCACATTCAATCAGACTCAGCTGCTTGAATCTTGAGCTGCTCTCCGGGATGTATTTCTGGGGTCTTTTCAAGCCTTGAAGGAAGCTTGAGATGCGCTGGCTGCGCCCAATACAGTGGATCCACCTGTCAGAAGTGTTCCGGTGGCTTTATCTCGCGATCCGGGAAGTGCGTGTCATGCGCAGACACGTCTGGCTGGGTGAATCAAGGGGGTTTGACTTGCTCTCAGCTCTCCACCAGCGACTGTAACGATGTGAAGGTGAAAGGCATCAGCAGCAACGAGGCGTGCTGCAAGTGTAGCTTGGCCTGCGAGCTTGCGGTATCCTACAGTTTGCAGCCGCGTTTGCGGTCGCGAGATCTTGATCGGTTTCGTGGTAGTTTCTATGTCAGTTTTATGTCAGTTCTATGTTTTTGGAGCGCGGCTGATGTCATGCTCCGGCCTGAGGCAACGGTGGAGCAGTGACCCCAACTCCGTTTGCTTACGACGTGAAGCACTGGGCGTTGGGCGAACAGGCGCGCTGGAGGTTTCTTCAGTGAACTACTTCCCTTCAGAGGTTTGGGTAAGTCCTCAAACCTGATCGAAAGAACGCCTTTTGGCATCATTTCCCATGTCTCATTGTCATTGGTTTCTGCGCATCCGAATTAGGGCCTTATGATCCTTTGGTCAATGAACTTCTGCAACGAGGTCTCCATGAAACCACATCCGCGCACAGCAGAGCGCTACTCACTGGATGAAGGCGGGCAAACATTGATACAAAAACGGAACTGGTTCAAACTTAACGGAGATCCCAAAGTTGCCAGATATGTCTGTGGCAGCGTATTTTGAAAGCGACAAGGCCAAAGGATCCAAAACCGATTCAGAAACTATTTCCTCCTACTCAGGAACTGATGGCGACTGAGAAACTATGGGCAGAAATGTTCAGAAGGAGGGAGCTGTTAATTCCATTCTCCATGAAAAATTAAAATTCTCACCCCCTCTGAACAAGATACTGATAGTTAATTGCTTCTCAATTCTCCATGAAGAATCAAACTTCATCCCCATGACTTAACTTTTGTATTGGAGGGGGGGTGTACCCCCATTTGATAATACATCAATTTGGAAAACCTGAGGAAATGTAAGGTTTCTTTTGGTATGGTATATTTAAATATATTTAACATGATCTTTTCCTCTGTTGCCGGGTTCCTCCGCTTTACTCTTGCATTCTCTATCTTTTCCTCTTCTTTCAATATCTTTTGTTTCCTGTTTTCTCTTTTTGTTCCCTGTAGTCTTTTTATGTCTTTTTAACCCCTTTTCTCTTTCCATTTCATTCCATTTCTTTCCTCTCAGCCTTTTTTGTTTCTCTATGTTACTCTATCCTCTCGGCTCTCTTTCTCTCTCTCCTCTACTCTCCTCGTTTTCTATTATAGGTTGCCGGGTCGCCGGGTTGCCGGGTACCACTGCTCCTCTTCCCTCAAGCCTTCCGCTCCGTCTCGGGCTCTGTGCTCTGGAAGCAACAAGAATCTACTGTCAATCTCCCAGACAGAAATGGGAATCAGCTCTTCACCATTCAAAGTCTCATCCTGCAGTCAGAAGAGAGAGTGTCAGAGAAGAAAGAAGATCCAAGTCATCAAGAAAGCGGGGAAGTGATCCGAATTCAGAGATGCATGGTGATGCAGCTTCTTTCAACCCTAGCCACATTGCTTCCGCCTTCCCTCGGGTTTGGTACTTGGCCCGGATCCTGATTGCCATATCAGAAAGTAGTGAAGGGCGTGCAAGGCACAGCCCCCTTTGGTGTCCCTTCTGAAAGGTGAGCTACAAGGCGCCCGGGACGTCAGTACCTGTAGGAATAACAATGGTTTTCTCCTACCAGGATTATCCTTGAATTGAATCAATTGACAATGGCTTTCTCCGACAGGGATGATGATAGAATCCTAAATCAATTGCCAATGCCCTTCTATCTGAATCCCACAGAGACTATCCTTGAATGCTGTTAGTCCTTCTATGGTGTCTCCCACAAGGACCATCCTTGAATGCTAGATGACATTACATGACTGCCTTTAGTTATGGACTAGCCTTAACTGGAATTTGAGGCGAAAAGTTTGCCTCGTTTAAGTCCTGAGGATTTAAGCAAGGCAGGCCTCTTTTCAGCAAGTCAACACAGGTTGCCTCGCCATATTTCCCTCTGCCTCGTTCAAATCCTCAGGATTTAGCCAAGGCAAAGCTAGTCCATAACTAAAGGCAGTCATGTAATGTCATCTAGCATTCAAGGATGGTCCTTGTGGGAGACACCATAGAAGGACATTGTCGCACCCGCCGAAACATTGGAAATATATCATCATCCTGGACCAGGCCATCATACAAAGCAATCTTCTTGAATTGATCTTCGCTCAAACGATAACGTTTGTTTGCCCGGGCATCTTCATGCCTGAGTGATATGCTCAAAGGCATCTGAAATGAGAGTCAGCACATCAAAGCTCACATACGTAGTCTTCCACATGTCTTTGCTACAAGTTGCCTGGGGCCTGACTCTTGTGGCACAGGTATGCCAAAAAACATTTGATTACATCATCAGAGTTCACATACATGTACTTCTACATGCCTTTGCTACAAAGTTGCCTGGGGGGCAATCTGTTAGGGGCCCGAAGTTCGGGGCCCGACTCTTGTGGCACAGGTATGCCAAAAAGCATTTGATTACATCATCGTTCACATATACATGTGCTTCTACATGCCTTTGCTACAAAGTTGCCTGGGGGCACTCTGTTCGGGGCCCGAAGTTCGGGGCCCGAAGTTCGGGGCCCGAAGTTCGGGGCCCGACTCTTGTGGCACAGGTATGCCAAAAAACATTTGATTACATCATCAGAGCTCACATACATGTGCTTCTACATGCCTTTGCTACAAAGTTGCCTGGGGGCAATCTGTTCGGGGCCCGAAGTTCGGGGCCCGACTCTTGTGGCACAGGTATGCCAAAAAACATTTGATTACATCATCAGAATTCACATACATGTGCTTCTACGTACATGCCTTTGCTACAAAGTTGCCTGGGGGCACCCCGTTCGGGGCCCGAAGTTCGGGGCCCGACTCTTGTGGCATAGGTATGGAATAAGGACACGCTGGATTGAAACCCATGTTTGCCCCCTTTTGCTGCTCTGGGATGAAGCGCGAAACCCTATCATTTAACCATACTTAGCCCTACTTAGTAAGTTTAATGTATTACCACCCCCCCCTCTAAAAGTAGAGTTGTCCATGGGGATCAAACTTCCCACCCCTCCTGAGCAAGATACTGATAGTTGTCTTGGGAAAAACAGGAAGCCGTTACTTAAATTCTTCATGAGGAATCAAAATTCCCCCCTAAACACGATACTGATAGTTGTATTGGCAAAGAAGGGAGCCGTTAAACTGCCCACCCCGTCTGAACAAGAAACGTCTTTTAAAAAAAATGGAGATGTTATGATGTTACTTCAATTCTTCATGAATCCCACCCCGCCGAACAAGAATGAACAAGATACTGATAGTGGTATTGGGAAAAGAACAGAACTGTTACTTAAATTCTATATAGTTTCCGATTGCCGTTGTCTGTCAGTGTCCTCCTCCGCCATGATCCGCCTATTTTAATTTCCGAATCTCCGTTCTCCAACTCCCACCTGTACTTTCCCAAGATACGCTTGCCTACTCTGCGTTTCCGAGTCCGCGGTTTTAGTTTCCAAACCCGCCCTCGACAAGACCTCAAGGCCTCAAGGGTTCGGAATTCAATCTTCTTGAGGTGTCCCCACATTACACCGTGGCACATAGCTGGCATGTTTTACTGTGTTCGAAGAGCGGCACTTGCCTAAAGGTTGCGCATTGGCGGATTACAATCTGACGATGGATGGCAGCACAGGTGCCTGGGACATCCTGGAATCGCGTTTGATTTTGACAGGTCATGTACGACCTGTTGGCATCTTTTGGCATTTGTTCACCTTCCCCTTGGGTCTGGGAAAAGTGGCATTGTTTCACACTGATCGCATTTTGTTCTTGCTATTGAGGAGATCATCGATACACAAACACACACAAATCATCGTAAAGCCAATTAAAGGCGAGTTTTCTCGCCAGCATTTTTAAGGCACACAGAGACAAGGCTTTTCTCCCAAGCTTTGTCGGTGTTGAACGGTAAAGTAGTCATGGAAAATTCTGTTCGTGGACGGCTCTTTGCTCTGTGCTCAGGTGCCATTACTCAGGTGCCGGGCACTGCGGCACACATAGAACCTTTCAGCATTGAATGCACTGTGACTGCGCATCAGACATCCACGGCGACGTTTGAAGCGAAGGTCAGAATCGCTATGGATTGGTTTGCATATGGAGTTCCGCTGCTGCTGTTTCCAGGTTCCAACTCCTTTCCAGCAAGCAAAGCACCAGGCACTTGGAAAGACTTCGCAGTGAGATGTGCGCCCAACACCGCATGGCTTCAGGTTAGTTCAATAGGCACTTTGACCAAGAGCGGAAGCATTGGAACAGGTGGGGTGATGACGGAGGATGCTTCAAAGGCTGGGCAGACAGGTGGCGTTTGCGTCGTTTCAGCCTTGCACCTACCCACTGGTGGCAAGTGGCAGTTGCGCCAAGCGAAGGTCATGGCAGTTTGGCCTCAGCCCTGGTCGTCAATGAGCTATCAAGCAAGCTCTGTATCCGTGACCTTGGGAGAGCAGCTACCCATTTTGAAACTGCCGGTAGGAAGCCCTGGCACCTTGAAACCTTCGGATTTCTTTGTGGCCTGTGACACTACACCCAGCCTAAAGTGGTCCTTTGACTCCTTGCTCAGTACTGGTTTGCTGGAAGGCGCCAGCCGTGGGAGGTTTCGGTCCGAAGTGCAGGTCAACCTGTGGACATTTAAAAATTGTATGAGGATATTTATGATATTTAAATATGTTCAATATATTAATATACTCTAATATTCATGATATTGGTAATATTTCATGATCAAAGGAAGTTGGGAAGCAATACTTCCGAGTTACGAATGACTTTTACTTGATGCAATTGACTATGATGAAGGGTGGTAGATCACAGAACAATACATAATCTAACAATACATAACAAAAGAATAAGAAGCTATGACACATGCAGGGTGGTGACGGAGGGATGTGGTTACGATGGGAAGTGGTGAGGAAGGGAAGTGGTGACGAAGGGAAGTGGTGATGAAGGGAGGTGGTGAGGAAGGGAAGTGGTGAGGAAGGGAGGTGGTGACGAAGGGAAGTGGTGATGAAGGGGAGTGGTGAGGAAGGGAGGTGGGGACGATGGGAAGTGGTGAGGAAGGGAAGTGGTGACAAAGGGAAGTGGTGATGAAGGGGAGTGGTGAGGAAGGGAGGTGGTGACGATGCGAAGTGGTGAGGAAGGGAAGTGGTGAGGAAGGGAAGTGGTGATGGCGGGAAGTGGTGACGATGGGAAGTGGTGAGGAAGGGAGGTGGTGACGATGGGAAGTGGTGAGGAAGGGAAGTGGTGAAGAAGGGAAGTGATGATGAAGGGGAGTGGTGAGGAAGGGAAGTGGTGAGGAAGGGAAGCGGTGACGATGGGAAGTGGTGCGGAAGGGAAGTGGTGAAGAAGGGAAGTGATGATGAAGGCGAGTGGTGAGGAAGGGGAGTGGTGAGGAAGGGAAGCGGTGACGAAGGCAAGTGGTGAGTTGGGGAGGAAGCCGGAGCACGAAACCTTGTGTTTTTCCGTGTAAAGTGGCTGCAGCCGGCGATGAAAGTTACCTCGTGTGTGCGGCGGGTGCGGTTTGGATCGTTTCGAGTTCAATCGGTTCCTCCTCTGTGTTCTGCAACGAGTGGTTGTTCCTGTGTGCGTAGTTCTATGCGTTTCTTGAATTTGTGGTTGCAGATCGCATTGGAATGGCTGCATGATTGTTGTCATCTGGTGTTGCCCTGTGCGTAGATGCATGCGGGTTAGCCACGTCATGCTGCAAAACGCATTGTAATGGCTGCATGAATGTTGCATGGGCTTTCTTTTGGGGAGGAAGCCGGAGCACGAAACCTTGTATTTTTCCGTGTAAAGTGGCTTCAGCCGGCGATGAAAAGTACCTCGTGTGTGCGGCGGGTGCGGTTTGGATCGTTTCGAGTTCAATCGGTTCCTCCTCTGTGTTCTGCAACGAGTGGTTGTTCCTGTGTGCGTAGTTCTATGCGTTTCTTGAGTCTGTAGTTGCAGATCGAATTGGAATGGCTGCATGATTGTTGTCATCTGGTGTTGCCATGTGCGTAGATGCATGCGGGTTAGCCACGTCATGCTGTAAAACGCATTGTAATGGCTGCATGAATGTTGCATGGGCTTTCTTTTGGGGAGGAAGCCGGAGCACGAAACCTTGTGTTTTTCCGTGTAAAGTGGAAAGTGGCTTCAGCCGGCGATGAAAGGTACCTCGTGTGTGCGGCGGGTGCGGTTTGGATCGTTTCGAGTTCAATCGGTTCCTCCTATGTGTTTTGCAACGAGTGGTTGTTCCTGTGTGCTTAGTTCTATGCGGTTCTTGAATCTCTGGTTGCAGATTGCATTGGAATGGCTGCTTCATTGTCGTCATTTGATGTTGCCACGTGCGTAGATAGGTGCAGGTTTGCTACGGGATGCTGCGAAACCCATTGTCATGGCTGCATGAATGTTGCATGGGCTATGTTTTGGGGAGGAAGCCGGAGCACGAAACCTTGTGTTTTTCCGTGTAAAGTGGCTTCAGCCGGCGATGAAAGGTATACCTCGTGTGTGCGGCGGGTGCGGTTTGGATCGTTTCGAGTTCAATCGGTTCCTCCTCTGTGTTCTGCAACCAGTGGTTGTTCCTGTGTGCGTAGTTCTATTCGTTTCTTGAATCTGTGGTTGGAGATCGCATTGGAATGGCTGCATGATTGTTGTCATCTGGTGTTGCCATGTGCGTAGATGCATGCGGGTCAGCCACGTCATGCTGTAAAACGCATTGTAATGGCTGCATGAATGTTGCATGGGCTTTCTTTTGGGGAGGAGGCCGGAGCACGAAACCTTACATTTTTCCGTGTAAAGTGGCTTCAGCCGGCGATGAAAGGTACCTCGTCTGTGCGGCGGGTGCGGTTTGGATCGTTTCGAGTTCAATCGGTTCCTCCTCTGTGTTCTGCAACGAGTGGTTGTTCCTGTGTGCGTAGTTCTATGCGTTTCTTGAATCTCTGGTTGCAGATCGCATTGGATGGCTGCTTCATTGTCGTCATTTGATGTTGCCACGTGAGTTAGATAGGTGCAGGTTTGCTACGGGGATCTGCGAAAGATTGTCATGGCTGCATGGAATGAATGTTGCATGGGCTATGTTTTGGGGAGGAAGCCGGAGCACGAAACCTTGTGTTTTCCGTGTAAAGTGGTTGCAGCCGGCGATGAAAGGTACCTCGTCTGTGCGGCGGTTGCGGCTGCGGTCGTTTTGTGCGCGAATTGTTCCTCCTATGTGTTTTGCAACGAGTGGTTGTTCCTGTGTGCGTAGTTCCATGCGGTTCTTGAATCTCTGGTTGCAGATTGCATTGGAATGGCTGCTTCATTGTCGTCCTTTGATGTTGCCACGTGCGTAGATAGGTGCAGGTTTGCTACGGGATGCTGCGAAACGCATTGTCATGGCTGCATGAATGTTGCATGGGCTATGTTTTGGGGAGGAAGCCGGAGCACGAAACCTTGTGTTTTTCCGTGTAAAGTGGCTTCAGCCGGCGATGAAAGGTACCTCGTGTGTGTGGCGGGTGCGGTTTGGATCGTTTCGAGTTCAATCGGTTCCTTCTCTGTGTTCTGCAACCAGTGGTTGTTCCTGTGTGCGTAGTTCTATGCGTTTCTTGAATCTGTGGTTGCAGATCGCATTGGAA